TGCAGGTTGTTTTTCTTTCTTCCTAGATCTACAATCAATTTAAGGTAGGAGTATCTAACATCAAGCGGTAATCAGAGCTTTGGTGGAAGAAGCAACGTGTAACGACAACAATAAAACACAAAAAGAAGTGCAAGTGAAGAAAAAAAAAGCAAAGAAAATTACAAAGCACCCAAAGAAGAAACAAAAAAAAAAGAAAATAAATTTGCAAAAAAAGTTGAAAGCAAAACAACAAGTCTCATCACCAAGCAATTCAAGTAAGCATCTAAAATTGATTGAGGTGATAGAAGGGTTGTGAAGTGACTTTGTGTAAGTAACCCCTTTATTCTCTACTTTATTATTTCTAAGCCACCCTTTCCATTATATTTTATTTTCCATCCCTACTAATCATTTGCAGCCGACGCACAACAAGTAAACTTTACTTGGCATAGTTTTGAGTAAAGTTACTTAGAACTCGAGAAAAAGAGATTGAGAGGAAAAAGACTTGAGCGTGGGAGACTAGAAGAGGACTAGTAAAATCCTTGAAGTCATATAGTGCAAACACGAGTGGATTGAGTGACATTCAAGTTTCCTTGGAGTGAACTCGTGAGGCTTTGTAAGAGCATTATTTGGTAAGGTCTTTTACACATTTTATTTTCTTTATTTCACTAATCATGTCTTGGAGTTCAAGAAGAACACCTGAAAGAGAAGCCCCTACTTGCAAACTGAAACAATTATGCATGAGATGGCAAGATTGTTGAAACTAGAATTGGAGCCCATACATGAAAGAATGGATCAAGTTGAAGCATCCTTGGGAAATCGAAGGATAGTTCGCACTAGAATGGAAGAAGAAATTGAAGAGGATGCTGAGGTTGATCAAATCACCAGAGGAGTAAGAAGAGATGTCCATAGGAATACAAGGGAAAGGTACCAAATGATAACTTCAGCAACATCAAGGTGACAATTCCTTCATTTCAAGGACGAACTGATCCAAAAGCCTATCTTGACTGGGTAATCAAAATCGAGCATATTTTTTAATGCCAAAACTATACGGAGCAAAAGAAAGTAAGACTTTTCATTATGGAATTTGTTGACTATGCCCTCGTTTAGTGGGACCAATTAGTAAGTTCAAGAATAATAAATGGTGAATTCCCAATCAATACTTGGGAAGAAATGAAGGCCATTATGAGAAAAAGGTTCGTACCTACTCACTATCACCGTGATCTCTATCACAAGCTTCAAAATCTTAAACAAGGAAGCCAGAGTGTTGAAGATTATTTCAAGGAATTAGATATAGCCATGATTTGAGCCAATGTTGATGAAGATATAGAAGCAACCATGGCAAGGTTTTTATCTGGCTTAACTCCTGAAATTGCTAACCTTGTTGAATTGCAGCATTATGTAAAGATTAAAGAGATGGTACATATGGCCATGAAAATTGAACGACAAATTAAAAGGAAGGTCTTCAACCAGAGTAGCCCAAGTTCAACCACCAAATTAAAACAAGAGCCTAATACTTTCCGAAATTCAACCCCAGTCCAAGTGAAGGATAATGTTGAGGGATCCAAAACCATACAATTGGGTGAATCCAACGAGGGTAAAGAAAAATAAACAAACACTTTCGAGAGGTCCAGATACATCAAGTGTTTCAAGTGCTTTGGAAAAGGACATATTGCAAGCCAATGTCCCAACCAAAACACTATGATATTGCTAGACAATGGAAATGTTGTCTCAGATTCTGAACAACCTATTCATGAAGAGGAACAAGAAGCAATCTATGTAGAAGAGACAAAAGAGATTGTTGATTGTGGAGAAATGCTTGTTCCAAAGAGTTGCCTCAAATCACAAACAATTAAGGAGGATCTACAAAGGAATAACATTTTCCACACAAGGTGCCATGTCAAGGACAAGGTTTGTACAATGATTATTGATGGAGGGAGTTGCACAAATGTAGCCAATACTATTATGGTGGGTAAACTCAGCTTGACAACCTTAAAGTATCCAACTCCATATAAACTACAATGGCTCAATGAAGGAGGTGAGTTAAATGTTACTAAACAGGTCATAATTCCTTTTTTAGTTGGTAGGTACAAGGATGAGGTACTTTGTGATATTGTCCCTATGCATGCTAGCCACATTCTACTTGGGAGGCCATGGCAGTATGACAAAAGGGTCATTCATGATTGTTATCACAACCAATACTCCTTTAAGCATGAAGGATGCAAGGTAACTTTGGTGCCTTTGACACCTAAAGAAGTCCAACAAGATCAAATGCATATGAGAAGGAGTGTCCAAGCCTTGTGAAATGACAAACTACCATTGAAGATTGAAGGTGGACAAGACATGAAACTGAACTTCTTTATAAATAAGTATGATGGTTCGTTGCTGAAAAATGAAGGGATTCCAACGAATAATGGTGATGGTTGGGATTTAAAGTCACAACTCTTCATCAAGGGTTATGATTCATGTCTTCAAAAGGTAAGTACCCCTTCATTTGAAACATCGTGTCTCTTCAATTTTCAGGGATAGCCAAATGAAAGGTCACTTCCAACAAGGATATCCTTAGAAAAAGATCATTCCAAAAAGGTACATGTTGGTGATTTATATTCCAAAAACAGGCCTACTAGGAGATCTTGTGAAAGGGTACCTATTGGAAGAACACATTCGTCCAAATGATACTTTCTTTTGACAAAAGAACACAAAGCTAAGCATTTGGAATAACAAAAATATTAAACACTTCAAGCATACCAAAGGCTTCGATTTGAAAACAAATAACCCTAAAGAAGGGATGATGCAAGCACGTTTTCACCACATGCAAAGAGAGTATTCTTAAACATTTTAATAATTCACTTACTTTATATTATATATGAAATAATCATACGTGTCATGATAAGATTGTTAGTTATGTTATTTAATGAGTAAAGTAATTTAACATATCCACATCTTTATGATTGATGCACAATATTATAAGTATGTTATATTAGTCTTGCATTCATTTAAGCATGATTCATTACATTCATGAAATGGCAACACGCTTATTCATTCATTTGTTAGCTCATGTGCATTCATTTCAGCTCATGTTATATCATTATGTACTTAGCTCATGATATGCATTCATAGCTCACAACATCATATTCATGCACAAAAACAAGGTAATTGGATCATACAAGCTCAATGTCTTTGATTTACTTTGTTTTATTTGCACATGTAGGTAAATGGAAGCATGACACACATTGGGGTAGCTTGTTAAAGTATTCGGAATCCATATGCAGCTCACAATTAGCTCACAAACATCATGGCAGCTCATGGAACACAATGGGAAGCTCAACTCAACTGGAGGAGCCCAAGGCTAGTTAATCTCAGCTAGTTGGATTATTTGAAGACAAGTTGCTGAAAGTGACAAAAAATGTAGCTGAACATGGCTGAAGGTGATGCTAGGGAGCTTGGGAGTTCATGGCTAAGAAGATCCTTCACCACCAGCCCTTGCATTGCTAGCTAGCTATACACATGCAATCTTGAAGATAGCTTAAATCACGCCCAAGATTGTTGCACATGTTTGGTCTTCATCAAATGCATAAGGCTACACTATATGCCTCATAGATAACAATGTGCACACCTTGTGACCAGCAACCATGTGCCAAGCGTGTAGACTCTTCCTAGGCGCGCTAAACACCAAACAAGCCAACCATTTGGCCAAGGCTCCTAATGCTTCATTTAGGCACCAACTAGAATGGGTTCAAGCACCATTCGGCCAAGAGACATGCCCCCTCTATTCAACCAAAACATAATATCCTTTCATTCATGTACTTAATTAATTAATTATGTCATTCTAGAAGGACATGAGGGCTGGCCGAACTAACATGTATCCATTCGGCCATGTCCCTTCCATTTCTATAAATAGGCTAGTCCTATTCATTTTGTAAACACACCTTTCTTATAAATTAAAGTGAGATTATTCTCTTATATCAAGTCCTTGTGACTTTTATCGACTTATCAAGTAAGTTCTTACTTGTGGCGTCAACCTCTATTCCATTGATACTTGTGGTTCCTATCTCTTTATAGATAGTGGGTCTAAGTCCTTTTCTACCATCCCTTAGAGAAATTTGTAAGGCAGGGTCTTTGCTCATTGTAGCACTGGTTCTTCCTTGGTCTTTCTAAGATACTATCCTCACCAACCATCACTTCTTTCATAAGCCATACCATAGCCATATCAACATACTTCTGCTACCAATCTCATAACATAAATAGCCCTCCATTTCACCTTTACATCAACTACCAAGCCATCTATTTGAGTCATTCACTTATGCATGTTGTTTTGCTTCCTTCTAAGATCCACGATCAATTTAAGGTATGAGTACCTTACATCAGGTGTAGGGAGGTTTTTTAATGAGACCATATTTTTTGTCCAATTTTATATGCTTATCCTTAATAACATACAAAATCCCTTTAAAAAAAAGGATTCATTCATAATATGTTAAAATGGATCTATGTATTGTGATTAAACATATATCCTATAGTTATAACCATAACTATTTAACTAATCTATGGGGTGTGACAGGAGTATGGGTGGGTGCTAAGCATTTGCATATCATTTACATTGTGACTATCGTTGATGATTTGACGTATAAATATTAATGTTTGTTTCGAATTATAATGTGACGTGTTTGTTGCACCTTAGAGATACAATAAGTCTTGTAGCTTACTACCCCTTAGTTTCTTCTTTCAGATTCTCGAGCTAGGAAGGGATTACCATTTATCACCATACTTGAACATCCAAGCCCTGTCCACCCCTTGCTTTCACTAGACTACGTTAAACAAAAAATCAAATGCTGAGAGAGTATAGTTTCAACGGCCCTTGTCCATGCCAAGAACTTTACGCATCTCGGCTCGATACTCCTTCATCTACTTCAAAGAATTGATAGTGCAAACGGCGCCAAGATAAAGTGCCAATGGGGCGAGTATTCCGATAAGACATGTGCAAGCAAGGTTGAAGTATGAAAAAGTCGTGGTTGGTGCTAAGATTTTCATGGAGCAGAAGTAAGCATTACCAAGAAATAAAGCGGGATGGCAGTGTAAATAAAAAGTCGAAACCCTGAGAGGAGTAATGTCGCGAATTGAATCGAAGACAGAAGGAAAAGGTTCAAAACCCAAAGCAGAGCATAACACAGCGGATTCACGATCGATGTACCGACTTCTCTCGATTCCTTGAACATGGGAATGTGTTCAGTGTAATCAGGGAAGAAGTGATTCGTAGTACTGATGCCTGAAGCGACATTGGTGGTGGATGAACCCCTGCCCTCGCCTTGCCAAACACCTCCAGGTGGGCTTAACGCTGATTGGTAGGTTGCTGTTATAACCTGTGCCATAATCACCAGCATTGTGTTGATCTTGTCAACCGACAAGCTGTTCCTCGCCCGGTTTCCTGATATCGTTGCTTTCCTTGAAGCAGAAATCTTAACATTCCCTTTCAGCTTCTTAATCTTGGTTTCATTTTCGCCACTCATGTTGATGTTCATGCCTTGTCCTTCAACCTTCTGTATGATTTCTAGAGCTGTCAAACCTTCCGAGTTCGTATCTCTTACAGATAACCAAACTTGGGCATCTAACAGCATTTTTATTGCCTGCATCATTAACATTGAACAGCCATTAATAGTTTTTTAAGGGAATGCAACTCATCGAATATGTGAAGAATATAATTGCATATTACCTCATGTTGTTCCTTTATGGCTGCTATGTGCAACACTGTGTTGTTATCGATGTCTTTCCAATTCACCAATTTTCTTTCAAAGGTAAAGAGATTACTATATCGTCTTGTTTGAAGCCATGCAAGTTGGAGAGTTAAAGCTTCGATCTGGTCATTTTTCAAGGCAAGATGCAACGCGGTCTCGAACCGTCATATCTTCGGTGCATTCTGGGCAAGCTTCAAGAAACTCGACTAAAACGATAGAGTATCCCATTGAAACTGCACAATGGAAAGGAGTAATCTTTTCTCTCCCCTTGACACGAACCAGATCTTTATCGGTCTTCAATTAATAATCGATGCACTAGCTCAGTCTGCTCGTTTCTCACGGCCAAGTGCATGTGGCTAAACCCATCTTAGTTGAGCTTCTTGGCAAAGGAAGGCATCAAGTTCATCATCTCCAATGCAACACTAATTTTCCCTTCGTGTGCTGCTACATGCAGTGGAGTCTCAACAAATGGAACGATGATGAATTTAGGGAGTGCGGATTAACATCAGCTTATATAGCGACCCCCAATGCAACGTAACGTAAATAGCAAATTCTATTTGTAAAGAATATGTGCCAATTGCTTCTGTGTAAGTAAAGAATGATTCAAAGGGATGGATAACATGAAAACGAAGTAACGATAAAAATGATATCCGTATAAACTCCTTTTCGCAGCCCTCATATATAAGAAAAGAATAGAATAGATTACTCTTTTTTCCCTTTTTTTTTTTCTTTACAAGTTTCTTTGTATCCTTTACTCAATTGCAATGTATTCTAGATAAGGCTTGATTTAACAACATTCTTGCCCACAAGAAAATTAGACGACTTAAATGAACAATTTGGCCCCAACAATGAGTACATTTTCTCAGTTTAGCATCTAAACTTTTATTACATTTTGATATCTAAACTATATATTGATTACATTTGCTTGTTGCGTTTAAAAGGGGACATGTAAGCTTCTTTTTTATAATTTTAAATATTTTATTACACTAAAACAAAAGCAAATATAACACGGTAATATAATTTTAATACAACATAATATAAAATATAATATACCAGTGAAAACAACACATACACTGAATGATATATATGAATATTTAAAATTTATCTTATATAAATTTTTAATGTATCGTCTTAATATAAATATAAAATATTTTAATTACAAACATGAGAAAAATTTATAGAAAAGGATGGAGAAATGTTAGTTAGTATAGGTTTGAATATTTTTTAATATATGATGTGCTTTCCTAATGTTTTAATAACATGGAATTTAGTAATATTTGTATTAAATTGTTATTTTTGTGAAGATATAATTTCATTTCCAGAGATATAACTTCTCCGTCAACTTATTAGAATTATCTCTGGAGTAACACGATGGAAACCAAAAAATATTGATAAGACTTTTGATAAATTCAAGAGGTTTGTCAAGATCAAATTTTCCAAATAACAATTGTATTTATCTTTTTTTTTATCTATACATAACAATTATAACTCTAAACCCGACACATGCATATAACAAGAGTCATCATATAAACCCCAATGACAGACAGAAGAAAAAACTCCCAAGACTTTTCAAGCAACTTTCCCTATGCATCTATATCATCAACATTTCTAATCACTCGTTAGTCATCACCAACTGTTATTCCTTGTCTAAATCAGAAGATGCGAACAATATAACTCCCTATTGCATCAACAAATATATTTTAATCATAATGTCACAACCCTAATTTAAGATTAAAAAATATATAAAAATAATACAATAAAATAAATTATAAACTAATTTAAGTAAATTAGGGACCAAATTGCAAGATTTCAAAACTTGCAACCTGTTTTAACTTCTACAGGAAGTTCAAGGATTAACCCTAAATTTTCTCATTTTTTTGTCAATGGGAAAAAATTGGAGTTAGTGCTACAAGGTATTGAACTTATGACCCTGGGTATGGTAGCCCATGCCCTAACAATTTGGGCTAAGGTATTGTTATGACTTTTTTAATTTAAAATTCCTTTTAAGTTCTAAAGGTCGGGGTTAACCCCCAAAAACCCCCAATTCCCAAACTCAAAATCCCTAGCTGCTCCCCCGATTCTTAGTCGTTCCCCCGCTGTTTTCACTCGCTAGTCACCGTTGGAAAAGTTTGAACATTTTAAAATTTCACACTCCATCGTGCTTCGTCGAAATATAACACATGCACGAGACTCCAGAGGTGATGATCTACGAATCTGGAAAATTTCGCATCGAACCAACGACCGGAGCCGTCGCACGTGCCGCTCCCTACGCGTGAGCATCGTCTATCAGCCTGGGGAGTGTACTACTGAATGGATCGGTCTGAATTGACTGGACCAGTCTGGATCGAATCTCCTAGACCGAGCTGAGTCGAGCCTGGGTGAGTCATTGACCCAACCGTTGACCCAGTCGTTGCTCGTTGACCGGCCTGTTGACTTTTTTCGGGAACATTTATCTTAATGTTTTTCGACATCATGGGTCCATTTTTAGGCCCGTTTCGTCAAATTCAAACCCGATAAGTTGATTTTCAGCGTTTTATCTTCTGATTTGAATATTTTCACGATTAAGTTATGTTTTTAACATAATTTATTTTGCTATGTATCTGAGAATTTGTGGGACGTCGAATTCAAGTCCGATAGTGATTGAATAAAGTTTAAATGGTCAATCGATATGGCTAAAAAATCAAGGTAATACTTTACTACCCTATGCATGCTTTACGTTACATGTTGGTATTGCTAAGTGCATGGATGACTATGTTTCGTCTCATCTGTATAATTAATTATTTCTAAACTTGATTCAAATGTGGTAAAAAGTAAGCAATTGAATAAAACTCTGATGGCTCGTATAAGAAATTGGAAGATTTATAAGGAATAATTCCAAGTTTCGTGATTAACTAGGGAAATGATTAACCCCATAACCCTTAAAATTTGATTACTCTTGTTAAAAATTGAAGCATCTAAAATACCTAGATGAGAAATTATTGTATTACCCTTGAGAGGTAAAAAATAGCCTGGATTGACCCTGATTGAGAAAGTACTATAAGAATTTGTATGTAATACGATAAATTACTAATTTAACTGTTAAGTTCCTATTTTGTTCGGAAGATTATAATAAACAGTTCGTAACCTCTAAGAAGGCACTAGACCCAGAATTTCTGATTTATGAGCATATACCCGAAGACTAACTTATCGAAAGTACTCTTATTGTCTGAATTATTTGAAATGATTGAAATAAATGACAAGTTTGAATTAAATGAAAGACTGGATGGAAGGAAAGGACTGAAATACCCTTGAATTTTAAAATTACCAAATTACCCCAAGCCCTAGAATGACTGAATACCCATAAGCTCTTAAATGAATAAATCTACCTCAAATACCAGAATGATCTAAATACCCTTATGACTTGGATTAAGCAAATGCCTTTGGATAACTTCTGAAGATACCAGTGAAGCTTTAAATGCTGTAACACCCCTGAGGTTTTTAGAGTATGACCTAAGTAGGTCGATCATCCCTAATACTATTACAATAAGATAAGTAAATAAATACTACTTAAATACTTGTTTGTCTCCTCATGATCCGTCCAAAAATGGTTCTGAAGGTGATCAATTCGATTTTGCAGTGCAACCAGTTTTAAGAAAGGAATATTCATGAAGTTTTTCTACCTACATAATTGATAAGTGTCACCTTTGCTGGGAATTGTAAAGTGCGATTGGAATTGAAAACCTGTTAAGATGATTGAAATCTAGAATTCTATAAATCGTTGCCTTCCTTTATTAAATTGAATTACCAAAATTTATCAGAAATTTGATAACTAAAATGCCCTTATAAGCCTGATTGATGAAATTACTTTAGGAATGTTTGAATCCTAAATAAATTTTGATGCAATGACTCCTGAATACCTTGCTGATTTATCTGAATACTATGATCTTGATAAATCACTTCGTGAATTACTAATAGATCCGTTAACTATTAAACCCTCTTTCTATAGGGATCTCATTTTTGAAATTCAATCAGTTTGCAGAAGTTTCGTGTTTTCCCCACTTGATAATTGCTAAGTACCTCTGCCAAATAATCGGATCCTCTAGTGTGTTCCCTATGTTCTATATGATTATTTTATATGACCTGAAATGTGATTTACCGAAGATATTGATTTACTGTTTATGACATATGGCTACATGATATACACTCTTTGGTTACCTATTTTCACTAGAAAATATAATCGTTCCTAATTGTGGATCATGGAATCTATTGTTTACTGTATGAACCTATTATTGGGATACTGTCTGGGTAGGATTATGGAGTATGGAGGCTCAGCTCTGATCAAGCTGGCAATTCCTTACGGACCTAAGGTGGCCTTGGGTAGGCTCTGAGGCCCCAAGGCATTTCCTTGGATCCCTAAGGCCCCAAGGTACTTCCTTGGGTAGGCTCTCAGGCCCCAAGATAATCCCTTAGGTTAGCTCCTATGCCCAATGACCCTAAGGTAAGTCCTTATGGATGCTGTTTTGGGGAACTACATATCGGTGTTTGGTTAGGGAGTTTTAATGTGGTTTTAAAATATGTTTTAAACTACTAATGTTTTTAAATGATCTGTACACATTTCTCTGTTTTGTTGGAACACACTAGAGTCCCCAACTCAATCTTCTGAATCTGACTCTCTGAATACTTCCTTCAGACTGTAAATTCATGTTTGTAATTGAAGACTTAGCTAATGAAATTTGAATTCACCGCTAGAATCTGATGATGTCTGTCCCGCTAAGGAAAGTTATGCTTTACCATATACCTGATGACCTATTGCATTTATCTGGTAGTTCTGTATTACTGAGCTTCTCAAAGCTCACTCTTTACTCACCATTTCAGGTTAAAAGAATCGATCCAGTGCATCTATCAACTTCAGTATTAGGAGTTCCTTTGGCTTTGCTTGCAGAGTATGATACAATGTGTAATTAGGGGGGCATATAGGTAACATTTGATTTTTTATATATATTGAGTCTGAAACTTGTATGATTTTAATTTTGTTTGTAATATAGGAATGATTTTCTGAACTTGTATTTTATTTATAAATTTGTTATATGATTTTACAAATTTTAACAAAAAAATTAATTTTTCCTGAATTTTTCACTATGAACCGCTCCAGTGGCACTAATGTAACACCTCGGATCGGATCGGATCACTCGCATCGATATAAGGGTGCTACACATAATCTGTAATGAACTTATGTCGATCATGAGCTT